ATTTTCAATACTGAGGAGTTGGCAACACTGGCCATCATATTTGTTTGGCTCTTTTTGACTCCCTCACAGTCTCCTTTTAACCCTCTCAGGCTCAAATTAAACTTTTTGTTGCTAATGCACAACCAAGTCCTGCAGTGGTACTTCTGAGTAAAAAAAAAAAAACTCATAAAATATGTATGTGGGGTAATCAGGTTGTTAGTTTTTAACTGTTGCAAATCTGCAACGCCTGCCTCGAGAGGGTTAATGTGTCCCACCTGTTTGTCCTTCGCTGGTTTCCTCCACAGCTGATTCTTTTCACCAGCAAACACAAAGCCCTGTGAAAAAGAATGAAAAGAGGCCACTAAGTTTTAAACACAAGTTAAAGTTTTTCCTTACTCTATGATGAGAAATGAGTATATTCGCTCCAGATACACATACATTCATTTCAAAGTGTGAAGATTTGCGAGCATTAACTTGCACATAACCATGTCGGTTACATGCCAGCATGCTAACATGAGACTAGCGTGGCTGATTAGATTTATTATCAATCTAATTATAATGATGACATTAAATTAACACGCTGACAAGAAGATGAGTTGGAAAAAAATCCCCTTGAATCTCCTCTGACGATCATCTGACCTTTAGATCATCCTCCATCGACACAACCCTAGTTTATCAGTCTTCCAGTTCTGTCTCTTTTAAAATAGGGGCCTGTTTCAATTTCTCATAACATGCACGACTGAAGAGCAAGCAGGAGTTTTTGCATCACAATAATGCAAATGCAGCTTCCTTTATAAGAAATAGAGGATATTAAAATTAATGGTAACACTTTCTTGCAGGGAAACCGAGCAGCACTGCAGATTTTTACAACTTGGGTCAGTAACCTTTTACGTCATAGGAACTTTTTCATATCTCCAGGATGTCACAGTACTGTTCCTATTGGCAACGCAAACCCAAATAGAAAAAAACCCCACACATCCCGTGGATGTAGTTATTCCCCAGTGACTATGGAGTTCAAAAGCACCTTGCAAGCGACAAATTTCAATTAGAAGACACAGAAATAAATATTGATTTAAATACCACATCAGAGTACAGACAACAACACAGTCTCCTCTCTATTCAATTGTGTAACTTCCATTTGTCTAATCAATATCTTCCACTTATCCAAAGTTGATTTGTGGTGGCAGCATGCTAAGGAGGATGTTCCAGTCATCCTTCTCCCCTACAACTTCTTCCAGTTCCTTATGAGATCCTGAGGTATTCCCAGGCCAGATAAGATATATATATATACAATCAGTCCAGCAGGTTATGGGTCAGTTATGGGTGCCTGAAAATCTTCAAAAGAGAGAGGCTCTAGAGGTATTCTAACCAGATGCCAGAACCACCTTGACTGGCTCCTTGCAACACGGAGGAGCAGCAGCCCTATTCCAACGTCTCTCTCTAAGGCCAGCCCAGCTACCTTCTAGGAGAAGCTCATTTCAGTCGCTTGTAATCAGTCTTATTCTTTAGTTCATTTCCAAGCTCTCATGACCATACAGTAGGTCAGAGTTGCAACACAGACAGTCTGTTAATTCAAAAGTTTATAAAACTTTACCTATTTTATCTACAAGGGGAATGGAGATAAAAATCTTAAAATAACCTTAAGAAGTTGAGACTCCAGCAAATGGATCTTAATAATGCAGATGAGTTAAGAGTGTGTAAAAACATGTCTCTCCAAAGCAAAGTGTCTCAAATTGAAGTGCATAACAAGTATAATTTCCACAGGCAGCATGTATAAATCCCAAACGTAGAAAACGTATACACAACACTGATGTATTAAGGCCTTTAGTTTCAGACTGCGCTTTCCAGTGTGGTTGTGGGCATATAGAGCTGCTGTGGGCTGGGAAATAAAAAAAAAAATCAATCACTCAGTCAATAAAAACAATACATTTTTCTTTCCGTTTATTCCTCGTGGAACTTACTGTTAAACTATTTTTGTCCAGCAAAATGTCTGATGTTAACTTTGAGGCTGGAGTCAATGTGGACTAAATGGTCACTTCAGTCGAACCCTGCTGACATCAGGCGTCTGATGGGAATATAAAGCCCATAGATGTGAAACCAACCCTTTGTTTTAAGAGATTTCAGCCTCGTCACAGAGATGTTTGCCTCCACTTAGATTGTTTTTTTAGTGGTATTCATGGAACAGTTTTGTTAGCAGCCAGCTTGTTTACTTCTGGACTGGACCTAACAGTGATGTTATCAGCTGTGGGGAAAATTTGGAAACAACAAGTCAGAGGAAAACTTGTTGTTTGGCAACTCAGTACTCGAGTTCATGTTTAAAAACAGCTTAACAGCTTCATCGCCAAATCAAAATGACCTACTTTCTTCTCTGTAATTCACACCAAAGCAAAAAAGTTCCCTCCTGTCTAATGGTTCTCTGCAGGTTGCTCGGGTTGTTTTTGTTGTGCCTTATCCCACTGTCAGACATACTCCAAATTGGCGACAGTAGTATGCTAGAGAGCCTCCCGGAGCTGGAGCTGGAGGGGCCACTTTCACCACAACCTGGAGTAGGTGGAGAGCTGGGACCACTACACTGAGCTCAGAGCAAAACAAGGACTTTAGTCGCCAGCTACAGCTCAAGATGACAGAGCTGGAGTCCATCCACGGGGTGAGAAACATGTTCGAGAAGCAGCTGAGGGGCACAGTTTAGTGTCTCAAAGCATTTATGGTATTCTGTCACGAGTCTCTCTTCACGAGTAAATGGAGGCGTTGTTCTTCACAGCATTACATTCGGTGGGTGTAGTCTGATAGAAAGAAATGAGTTCCTATATGAACTGTGAACATGTTTTTTTTTCCCTTTCTGCAAATAAAGTGCCATCTGATCCCAGTATATTATAGAGAAAGGCAGACATCTCTACAGCCGATATCTCCAAAACTGGGCAACAGTTTTGCAATATTTTAACACAATAAAAGCAAAAAGCAAATTCTGGGGTCCAAGCATTTAATCATACTTTTTTTTTTTCCTATTCTATAACAAACCCATCAGCCTCTTTCAGCCCTCATCAGTGAAGCAGCACATTACTCAGCCTCAGATGACTGTTGGTGGAGCATCTTGTGACTGAGAGCAGAGCGGAAAAAAAAATCCTCACAGTCTGCTGTTTGTTGGGCTGAAAACCAGCTGGACAATGTGACACCAAACATTCCTGGGTTTTGTGAAAAATAACTGTTCGGGCTGACAGAGCGGAGAGTGTCTGAACACAGAAAACACAAGCTGCCATTCATACCAGTGGATGGGAGGAGTGTATCTAACAGTCCAATCGGGGAGCAGCTGAATGTGTGACAGGGTCAAATTCACAAGAGGAATGTGACCAAGGAAACATGTTTCTGTCTCGAGTGTTCAGGACGAGTATCCACGGCAGTGTTGGCAACATTTTTTCCCTCAGAGGGCCAGACTGACTTAGATACAGTAAGCAGAAGGAAACAAAGTGCTTAAAATCCACTAGAAAATTCCTGAAAAAAATTATGAATGTGCCAGTGTCCCTATTTCTGTGTAAAATAGCTTTGCAGAGATTGCAGCAAATATTGTAAGGAAAATGTAGACAGCTGGAAACTAGAAACAGATTTTAATCGTTTATGTTAATATCCTGATAAAAGTTATTTTAGAGTTTCCCAAAAGCTATAAGATCCATGGATCTGAATTTTAGGCAGAAGAAGGAGAATAATAATAATAAGAAGAAGAAGATAATGACAAAAATCTGACAAATAATAAATAGTCAGCCTTAATTGAGTGTGTCAGTGCAATAGCATTAACTTTGACAGTCTTGATAGATTGCTTTAAACTCTAAAAGCCAAAGAATGTTGACTTTTCTCTGTCAGGCTGATGTGAAATCCACTTAAATGCCTAATGCATGTATTAACATGTATGTTTGCATCAATGAATGAATAAAGAATGAATACATTATCATAGTCGTGGATATGACTCAGGGTGCATACCTGAACCAAACGGCCATCATAGTACAGACCTGCATCACTGAATCAACAAAATCAGTTAACACCATTTCCCATGCACATACAATACTGATTAGGGCCACTCAGACATATTTGTTCCTTCATCCAAGACAACAAGGACTCTATTGAATGATCTCCTCACATTTTTGTATTGAAAGTACACTGACCGCTCCCATTTCGCATTCCCTCCCAAAGTTCCATTTAGTACTGCAAACTGTGCATTGGACCTCAGCACTATCCTGACACTCTTATGGCTGGATTGCTTAATCTAAACAGGATTCAAGTTCATCTAATCACAAGTACTGGTCTTACAGTTATGGGTGTGGTTTGGTACTGAGTGAACCTGTTACCCTGTGTAGAGCTTAGGCCTCTAAAGTAACTTTCATTATTAAAAAAAACTAATTTAGCAATAATCTTTGGACAAACAAGTAAAAATCAAACAAACAAACAATTCAATTAAAAAAAAAAAAACAAAAAAAAACAAACACTAAGTGTGTCAAAAGCTACACACAAATTGTGTTCCCCTTGTCATTTTGACTTTATGACTACTTTATGATTTTATATGGTGTCTCCTATCAAATGAATGTGGACTGAGTGTACAGAAATTTATGAGTTTGCAGAGAGGAAGAAAAAAAGTTGGAGAACCAGTTCAAAGACACTCAAAACCAAAATACCTATTAAGTAAGTTAATGACACACACGCACTGATATCAGTGCAGGTTTAAAAAAAATAATCACCACAGAGATCATCATTTAAATCATGAATGAAAAATGCATTATTCTGCTGCAGTTTTTGAATCTGCTTTCACTAAAACTTGCCTGCTTCACAAAGGCATCGCCATCTGTATAACACTCAGTGTCAGAATTATTACAGGCCTCCAAGTGTGTTTAATTCACTAGTCTCAGGATAGTGTTCTTTTGCCTGGCAACTAACCAGTTATTCAGCTAATCATATGCGCACCACCTTCAGTGGAACTCCCATCAGTATGTGTACTTCAAATAACTCCGTATCAGCTGCCAGCTACTTCAAGTTCATCTGTTATTGCCACGTAAACATTTCCAAAGCCAAACGCACTTAAATGCAAAGATAATTAAATTAATTTCACTACCAACACACACACAGAGACCAGGAAACTTGTATGTGATTAATATCATGTTCAAGGACACTTCAGCCTCTAGAGGTGAGGAGCTACAGACGAAACCACCAAATCTGCAGTTAATTTACAACCAGTTCTAAGGACTCATTTACTTTTTTCCCCATAGTGTTGAAAAAGCTAAATTTCTCCATTTTGAAGATTCTGTGTGTGAAAGCAGAATCCAAGAATATGACACAGAGTCACATGAAAGCA